GGAGGAGGGGGTTGGGTCAACCCTGGACTCACTGCTAATCTCTTTGAGGGTCTTTCTTATCCTTTTCTGGTCATACTGTTAGTCTCAGGGCAGAATCAGGGTGGAAGGTGGGACACTTGAGACTCAGCATTTGTCCTGTCCCTCCAGAATTTGTGCTTTTGAGATATTCCCTCTGTGACATAATCAACCCCTGAGAGTTAATCTGCCAGTCACAGAGATCAGGTCTGTTTCTCCATAGTGAGCAAGCCAGAGCACTTTTCTGCCCAGTTTTCAAGATGGTAGCAGAGTGCCTCTTTCGTCTTCCCCAGTGGGGCTCTGCCTCTGACTCCCTCTCTGGGCTCCCTCTGCAGCCCTTGCTGCTAGTGTCTAGCCAGGTGCTGCAGTGGTGAGGCAGAGCCTGGAGCCAGCATTCACTCTCAGCAGCTTCTTTCTGGGAAGGGTTTCGCTGACTTAAAAAAAAATGGCACTTGGCTTCTGTGTCAGGGAAAGTGCTGGAGTCCAAGCAGAGCAGCTGCAGCACCAGCTGCTTCACCAGGAGAGCCCTTGCCACTTGCTCCCAAGTCCCAACTCAGTCAGCCACTCACATGCCCACTTACTCACAGACACATATGCTAAATTTTCCGTACACTCACTCACTCACGTTGGGACTTGCATAGTTCAACTGCCTCCACCACCATCTTCTCAGAAGTTGAATAGTTTTTCATCATATGTATGCACTGCAATTTATTCTGTTCTCCTGAGAACTTTCTATTTTCAGGTTAATTTGATCACAGCTGCTATGAACTTTCTTGACTTTGTATGGACAATAGACATTTATTGCTCTAGTAAATAACCAGCAAGCAGTAGAACTGCCGGGATAGAGAGGATTCTATGTTCAGCTTTAGCAACGATGACCAGGCAGTTTTCCAAAATGTTTGAACTGATTTAAATTCCTACCAACCATGTGTGAGAGCTCCTGTTGTTCCTGGATGTGAATTTTCACTCCCAGACTTATAGATTATAGCACAGTATATTCAGACCTTTACTTTTGTGAATGAAAAACTTGAACATTCTTTATTAATGTTTTGTACCAAGTTAGTTTCATATTTTCAAATACATGGGTGTTTTGAAAATAGGGTAGTAGTAGTCATATCTAATATAGTACCCATTTTTTAAAAAATAAAATAATTTTTAATATTGTGTTTTTTACATTCATTACAAATTTATAATTTTTATAAGCTAAAATTTTGTGGGCATATGTGTTCATGTGGAACTATAGGGCCATAAGGTATTCATATGGCCATAAGCTTTGGAAGGTATGGCCTGTTTTCTCTTTACACCCTTCCTTGTATTAACTTGAAATAATCAAAAGGATCAGAATCCAGTTTAAAGTGTTTATTCAAGTGAAAGCTGAGAATAGCCATCTGGGAAACACAGACTACAGAGATATAGAGTCAGTGTTCTTAAGTTAAAACTTAAGGTCTTGCTTAGTCAGAAAATAAATTTAGTAGTATTATAACATTTTTGGTACAAGACTTGGATTAGTTATAGCAATTTAATTAGTTATAAATTTTTTCTACAGTTTGCTTTCTTTACTAGTTGTTTGCATTTTCTTTTCAGTTTAAAAGAGTGTATTTAACATTCCATCTTAGACAATGTGTTAGTCATGAAGCCTTTGTGTGAGAAAAGTGAGAGGAAAGTTAATCTATAAGGGGAACCTAAAAAAAAAGGAATTATTTTTTGGAGGGTGAACGCCTTGTAGTACAGGCTTTCCCTGCTAGTTAAGTGTTCTAGGAACCCATCAGCATCAGTATACCAGCTAGTATTGTTGTGAAAGACTGTGTTCAATTTCAACGATTTTTTTTTTTTTTTTTGGAGATTCTATCAGCACGTTTGCCCATTTCATGACTGGTGATTTATGAGCACACCTGCCCACAGCATGCTGAGTGTTCAGCAGTTTTGGACCAAAAATGACATGACCTTCTGTGTTCCACCCTCCCTATTCACCTGATCTTGCCCGAGCGACTTTTTGTTTCCCAGATTTTAAAAAATCCTCCAAAGGAAACATTTTACTAATGTGGAAGAGGTGAAACCAAAAAAAGGCAGAAGCACTAAAAGGCATCAAAATTGACAAGTTTAAAAATTGTTTTGAGCAGCAGAAAAAGCATCTCAATATCAAACGAGAGTACTTTGAAGGTGACTGAAGTTTAAACGTGTAAGAAAAAATACGCAATTTTCTATAAATAAATTCTGTGTTTTTTTGAGTCTCCTTCTGTTAATGATAATTAACAGTAAAGAGGGAAGGGGTCATCTCTGGCAGCCTTTAGTCATTTCAACATCATACTAAACAATGTAAGAAAGGATGAAGGCTAATCTAATCAGAGAAAGGTTACAGCTGCCTGGCATATGACTCCAGCAGGTCCCATAATCAACTTTCTCTTAAAGTTCAAAATATTTTAAATTTTCTTAGATTTTGAATTACTTATTTTCACACTTACATATTTGGAGTTCCTTGAGGCTGGCTCTATGTCTTGTTACCAGGACACACGAACTGAAGAAATATCCTTGCTTTCTGATACTCTGAAGATTACAGAGGTACATCTCGCATTCTTTGCTTCAGTTATGGACTCAGCTGTTTTCTAAGGAACTTCAGTTCTTTTTAGTAAAAAAATAGTGGTAGAAATCAGAATCTGATTGCTATCTGGGGACGTTAGACTTTTCTAGTTGGGGTGATATTGCCCCAGATCATTTTAGTGAGAATGTAACTGATGCAAGCTTGTATACGAGTGTTGCTTGTTATACGAGTGTTGCTTGTATACCAAAATAAACAAGCATAAGATGTAATGAAAGGAAGGTGATTTTATTCCAAAAACCGGCAGATGAGGAAATGGCCAGGCTCATGTCTTAAATAAACTTTCAGATTCTTAGGCTGAGTGCAAGGGTTTAAAAAGGGCAACTTGGTATGAGGGAACATGTGGGCATGACACAGCCTGTGTCTTCATGTCTTATTTTGGGTGGTAATCCTGGAGGTCTAGTTGGTGTTAGTTGCAGTCTCGTGACTCCCCTCAAGCATGGCGTCCCACAGTCAGGCTATTTTAAGTTGAACCCTGGGATTTCTAAGCAGGCATATCATTTGATAAGCATGCATGGTATAAAGAAGATTCCAGAGCACGTTTTAAGGCTTAAGACTAAGAAAGATAGAGGGGGGGAAAAACGTTAAAATAAATTTTAAGGCTGTGATATTTGATTACAAGAACAGCCACAAAGAATTTTTCAGATCATTCATTATCCCATTGATAATTGTCATACCATTCTAACATTAAACATTCATAATATCACACAGTATTTACATTCTTAAACTATGAATTATTCTTTTCTTTATAATTTGTTACACTGTACAGTTAATTGTTAAACATCTTGATTCAAAGTAACATAGTTCTCATTTGCCAAAAATTATTTTCCAATGTAAAACAAAATAAAATTCCAACCAACTGAGCCCCTCTGGGCCAAGGAAAACCTACTAAATTCCAGGCCATGCCAGAAAAGGAGGTGGGACATGCCTTATGGAGTTTAGGCATAACAGACTAGTATTGACATTAAAATAAAGATCACGAGACTGACAAAACAGATTCTATGTCAATAAGATACCAAATTCCAACCTGACTCTGGTATAGCATCACATGACAGCAGGCTCTAAAGGAAATAAAAATATTTTACACCAAAATATGTTTCTCTGGCATTTATTTTTTAAGTCAGGGTCTTGGTCTGTTGCCCAGGCTGAGTGCAGTGGCACAATCACAGCTCACGGCAGCCTCGACCTCCTGGGCTCAGGCAATTCTTCCACCTCAGCCTCCTGAATAGCTGGGACTACAGGCATGTGCCACCACACCTGGCTAATTAAAAAATTTTTTTTGTGTAGACAAAATCTAGCTATGTTATCTAGGCTTAGTCTCAAACTTCTGGGCACAAGCAATCCTCCTGCTTCAGCCTCTCAAAGTGCTGGGATTACAGTCATGAGCCAGTGAGCCCAAGCCCCGTCTTCTTTGGAATGGTCCTGTACAACAGTCTCTTGGGGAAATTTGTATTTGTAGAAAATCTCCTTTCCTAAGAATAGCCTGACATCTTTTAGCATATTTACCACCTGTTCTTTCTGAAGCCTGCTACAGAGTCTTCTTCTATATAACAAGAATCTTGGCTTCCACAACCCCACTTCTCTTAACTCAAACATTCCTTTCTACTGATTTCAGATTCCATAGAGCTTGTCTTTCAATTAATTGCCAATCAGAAAATCTTTGCATCCACCTATGTCCTATTACTCCTTCTACCCCGCTACCACCCTCTCCTCGTGCTTTGAAATGTCCCACCTTTCCTAGCCCAACCAATATAAACTTCACATGTATTCACTTTTGTTTTTGCTTTGTAACTTCTATTTTCCTAAAGTGTATAAAATCAAGCTGCTCCCCCAATGACCTTGGGCACATGGTCTCAGAACCCGTTTGTGGCTTGGGCCTTGGTCACTCATATTTAACTCAGAATGAACCTATTTAAATATTTCACAGAGTTTGGCTTTTTAATCAACATTAACTAATAACAACACTTAGTAATCTGCTGGATGCATAACAAAATTGTCTTCCTGTAATTATTTGTGACTATAATTTGAGTATACTTTACGGATATTATGCAGTTATTTTAATTTGTGTTGGGTTCTTTGTAATATTTTCCTAACAGTTAAAAAAGCCTTTGCCCAGTATATACGTGAGTCCAATTATTTAAGGTTTTAGGATATCTGTTTCCAGTTATTCCTTAGTAGCAACTTTTACTTTCCGGAAGGTCTGTTTTATGCATCCACATTCTGAGTTGAATGGCACCCTTTTTTTCTTCTACCACCATAATTTAAAGCATGGATTTTTGTACAAGATTTACATAGGGAATTTGCAGGTTCCAAAACAGGCCTTGTTCCTCATAGCTCTGTTCTCTGTTCTCTTTTTCCATCCTCCTCTCCCCAATCTCTACCTTCACAGGTCTTGGTTCCTTTTCCAAGAACAGCAGAAAATGATCGAGTACCAGGTGAGTATGACATTAAGGAGCACAGTTTCCAATCTTAGGAACGCCATCCTAAAAAAAAAATGTTAGCATTGTAAGTATATACACTTTGTCAAAGGCTGGATTCTCAGGAAAACAAACTCAGAGATGGAGATTTTCGTACAGGAGGTTTATTAGGGAGGCTCTTGGAACAAGATTAGGCAGAGGAGGTTGTTGAACAGAGGCCCCAACTGATCTTGAGCTGGGATGGCCCTCTGTGTTGTGAATGGAGGCAAGGGGGCTTTTGTATTCTGAAATCAACTAGTCACTAAGCTGTCCCAGGAGAGAGATAACTTTGGTAGGGCAGCTCCCTTTGGCTAAGGACAATTCTCAGAAAGGTTTTAAAACTGCAGCAGCCAGTCCTCCAGGGAGATTTGGGTGGAATGCCAGTCTCTTTTCTACACATAGATACAATAGTAAGACATTTATACATACTGCTTTGTCTAACATATTACTACTTAGAGCCATGCCATGTTTTTAAAAATCAGGTACATAATGTGTGCATGGAGTGTGACTTATTTAACCAGTTCTTCATTTTATGGACATTTGAGTAGTTTTCAAACTTGGTATTACAAACAATGATGCAAGGAACATTCTTTGTTGAAATACACATATACTAAGTAGAGAGTCCAAGAGTTAGTAACTGTGATCTTCCTGGTGGCACAACAAAAAGGCAATACTGTTAGCCAATTATTTGCACTGTCCCTAAGGGAGAAGCATATTGTTTTCTCCAGGGGTAAACTAGCTTTTCAAGGCACGTTTTACAGACGTTTCCCTGAGGGGTCTTTTTAAGGCTGAGGCTGTCCAGCATTAGATCTCACAGTGTGTTCCCAGGACATGAGCATTGCCTGGAGGTCTATTAAAAGTACAGAACGGCAGGCCGCACCTCAGACCTGCCAGATGAGCTCTCTGGAATCTGTGTTTAAAAGGCTTTGGATGATCTTTATGCACACGAAAGTATGAAAAGCACTGGTAGTGATAGTAGACACAGTTCTTAACAATATGATTGGAGAAGCGGGTTTTCTTTCTTCTTTTTTTTTTTTCTTTTTTTGAGTTGGAGTCTCATTCTGTCGCCCAGACTGGAGTGCAGTGGCCACTCCCAGCCACCGCAGCCTCGACCTGCTGGGCTCCGGCGATCCTTCCACCTCAGCCTTCCGAGTAGCCGGAACTACAGGCATGTGCTACCACGCCCGGCTGATTTTTTGATTTATTGTAGAGATGAGGTCTCGCTGCCCAGGGCTCGAACCCGTGGGCTCGAACCCGTGGGCTCAGGCGGGTCTCGAACCCGTGGGCTCACCTCAGCCTCCCAAAGGCGCGGGATTACAGGCTGAGCCACCGAGCCCAGTTCGTTCTTTTTTTTTTTTTTTTGACTCAGCATCTCACTCTGTCACCCAGGCTGGAATGCAGTGATCACATGATCACAGCTCACCGTAACCTTGACTTTCTGGGCTCAAGCAATCCTCCTGCCTCAGTTTCCAAAGTAGCTGGGACTACAGGCATGCGCTACGACACCTGGATAATTTTTTTTCTTTCTTGTAGAGACAATGTCTTGCTATGTTGCCCAGGCTGGTCTCAAACTCCTGGGTTCAAACAGTCCTCTCACTTTGGCCTCCCAAAGTCCTGGGATTATAGGCATGAGCCACCCCACCCAGCTAAGAAGCAGGTTTTTTATAGTAGTTCCTCAGCACTTTGCTTGCAGTAAAGGGTTAGCCCAAGCAAAACTCCCAGCTCTTCAGGTGACCAAAACCGTCAGGTCCTCAATCATATGATGTGTTTTCTGTCTATTTCAGGGTTGTAGGAAATTCTAACTCCTATGTGGTTGTGATCTGCATATGTAATGAAAGGAAATGCTGCATTTCAGTTAGAAGAAAAAGAAACTATGGTTGATTTCTTTTGAGGGGTCAAAAAGGTTCTACCAAGTTTACAGAAGTCCTGAATTTAATTTGAGGTATCTGTACCCATCTACACAAGGAATAGGCTGGGCGTAGTGGCTCAGCCTGTGATCCCAGCACTTTGGGAGGCCGAAGCAAGAGAGTTGCCTGAGCCCAGGGGTTCGAGACCAGCCTGGACAACTTGGTGAGACCTTGTCTCTACAATAAATCACAAAAACTAGCCTAGCATGGTGGCGTGTGACTGTAGTTCCAGCAACTTGCAAGGCTGAGGTGGAAGGATTGCCTAAGCCCAGCAGGTCAAGGGTGCAGTGGCCATAAGTGTGCCACTGCACTCCAGCCTGGGTGACAGAGTGAGATTCCTACTCAAAAACAAAAACAAAGACAAGGAACAGATATACTGACCAGCACTTGAATTACTGTCATTCCCCTTATATGTCTTTGCTAGTCTGGCTTCAAATAATTAAACATCTTATTCCCCAGCCAGCCTCAGTCTGAGATATTCCTAGCTCCCAACGGCCTTGTGTTCTGATAAGACTCCTTCGTCCTCCTTGGCCCCTGAGATTCTGCATTTCTGCTTCCTTGGAGCCTTCCTCCAGCAGAATAACTTTTCCAGAGATCCATTCTTTCCCCCTTTCCCAATCTTTCCTCCTGTCCCTACGGTCATTGTCAGTGCTTCCAGCCCAAGAAATCATCCCCCATTTCCAAGCTACTAGTGTTTCCAAGCTCCTTTCTCCTTAGCTGCCTTCATCTCCTGAAACAATTTCCCTGCTCCTGATGTTTCCACATCCTGTTTCTTATTCTCTTCTTGAGTCCAGCAGCCTCTCTTTACACTTACCAGGTAACCTTGCTGAAGCTGAAATCAGGGGATTTTTTTTTTAATTGTTCTGCTGAGTTAGACTCTCTTGTTTGTCCTCTTCTTGGCAGCACAGAATACTGGTTCAGAATGCAGACTGCTGGGCTTGAATCTCAGTCCTCACCAACTGTGTGACCTTGGGGAAGTCACTAAACCTCTCGGTGCCCCGGCTTCTCCTTTGTAATATGGGGATTATAGCAGCACCTAGCTCAGAGCAAATGTAATAATTAAGCGAATCAACCCATGTAAAGTGCTTGGAATAGACTTGTCCATAGTTTGTGTTTATTATCATCACTGAAGACCTCCCTCCTTCATGCCAAGATAGTACTCTTCTGCTTTGTTTCTCATGACAGCACCTCAACATCTTCTGAGGATTTTCTTTGCACTTTTTGCCTTTTAGACATTGGTGTTCCTGTGGGTTTGAACCTTCCTTTGGGTGGATGTGCAGTGTGGTGAACCTGCAGGTGACTCTTTCATCTGTACCTAAGCCAAGACCTCATCTGAGAGCTTCAGTCCCCTTTGCCCATGACATGGTCAACGTCTATACCTGGCTGTCCTACAACACTTCGCATTTAATGTCTGCAGAATTGAACTCCGGACTTCCGTCTCTTCTTCCCAGTTTCCTGTCTCGGGAGATGGCGCCAAGACCTCGAGATTTGTCCTTTACTTCCTCTTCCCTTTTCCCCCTTATAGTTGCCAAACTGCTAATTTTACAGTTTTGGTGATTGCTGCTTCTCTCCCCTCTTCATTCCTGTGTTTTGTGAAAATGCTGGCTTCCTGGGAGCAGAATTGTATCTTTTCTTGTAAAACATTGACCCAGACCATGTCACTGTGCCCCATAATAAAGATTTCTTACTATTCTGTCACTACCACAGGGTGTTGTTCCGGCATCAGGAAGAGTGTTTGGGTGGCACCTCCTCTTTACCTGTGTCTGCTTGGATGAGTCCTAGTGTGTCAGGTTTCAGCACCCATGACCCCTGACCCACTTCTGATCCTGCCTTCTGGTCCATCTGCCTGGGTCATTGCTCAGGGTCTACTGTAAGCCTAGCATTCCTCATGGAGGCCTGCAGCCTCTTGAGAGTGGGAATACAGGTCTGTCTGGTCTTTTCTCAGAACTTCTTCAGTGCTTCTTTCAGCTGCTCCCAGAGGTAGAGGGCTGCTGCCCCTGGCACTGTGCACTAGAACCACCTGCCCTACTAAAAAGCTCAGGCACTAGGTCCTCTTTTGTTTCCTTTAGAATTGCTTTTCCTCCAGATTTTAAAATATCAATTTACATTATTTTTCTACTTAAACAAAATAGGCGTGTTTATGTATACCAGGCATTGTTTGAAGGCTTTACTCATTAGCTAATTGAAACCTCATAATAACTGAGAGACATGCACTATTATTATCTCCATTTAATAAAGTAACAGGCACAGAGAGGTTAAGTGAACAGGCACAGAGAGGTTAAGTGGTTTTCCCATGGTCACTCAGTTAAAGGCTGAACTGGCATTTGAACTCAGGCAGTTCAGCCCTGATCCACTACCTTGCCTCTCATGTATATGATCACTGTAGTTGGGAAGCAGTCCACAAGATCATCACTTCTGTACCAGTTGCAAGTACCCCTCAAACCACCCTCAGATTTGATAATTCACTAGAACTCCCTGAAAGCTGTTATACTCACTGTTACAGTTACAGCAAAAGGATACAGAATAAAATCAGTCAAGAAAAGCGGTGAGAAATGAAGGAGAGTTTAGGATAGTTCCATACACACAACTTCTAGTTGTTCTCTCCTAGTGGAGACCTGGACAGTGAACTAGTACAGTCCTAGTGGAGTCTGGATGGCCAAGAAAGCTCACCAAAATCCAGTTTTGACAGGGGACTGGTCATATAGCTATGGTTCAGTGTTCCTGTAACTGACCTCGGTCTCCAGCCCCTCCAAGAGGTTGAGCTGATGCCTGTGACACAAATCCCCCATCATAAATCACATCGTTAGACTACCTGTTATGGCCGAATCCCCTAAGTAAACAAAGATCCTCTTATCAGGAAGGACATTCTGAGGGTGAAGAGATTCCCAGGAACTTAGAGATGCCCAAGAAAGGGCAAAAGCTAGATCTTTCTTTTGGCAAGGTTAAATTCTTTACTACACAGTCACTTAAAGATAGATTACAAGTACCTTCTTAGGTCCGTACCTGTGGGTTTCCTCCAGTGACTGTCCCGCTCCTTCCTGTTACTCACGCTGTGACCTCCAAGGCAATGGACTATTTAGAGAACTTTTGTTTTCTGTACCTATAATCAGAGGCCTGCCTGCAGCCAGGGATCTGAGGCTTGCCAAGAAGTCAAGCCTTCTTTTCAGACTGCTGTATTCCTCCTCTAGATCCCCTGCTGAATTCTTCTGCGGCTTATTTTTAAATGTTAGTATCCTTTGGGGCTCTGGCTCATCCTATCTCCTTGCAAAGAGATCCCACTTCTGCGCTGATAACTCACACAGCTTTAGCTCCATTCCTGATCTTGCTCCTGACATAAGACCTGCATGTTAACTGCCCACTCCCACCCCCAGACACGTACAACACAACACATCCTCTTTGTTCCTCCCAGTTTCCTCATCTCCTTTGCAGCACCATCATCACCCAGTTGCCTTCAAAATGCCTGGGTATTATCCTTGCCCCTTCCCTCTTCACCCCACAACCAGTTAAACTGCAGGTTCTTTTCTTCTTTCTAACAGTCCTTCTTTCTCACTGTTAGGGTCCTACTTGTAAACATATTTTGCTCAGGTTATTACGGGGTCGTTCCTCTCTCTTCCCTCCAGGTCACCCACCACAATTCTCTTTCCGTCCATTGACTTTCAAACTACTTGTGAGTTTAAAGTGCATCTCTTATAGGTAGCATGGCTTTTTCTATCCATTCTGATGATCTCTGCTTTCTTGGAGAGTTTAATCTTATATTAAATTGCATTTAATAAACATACTACTATAGTTAGATTTGTATGTAACCGTTTTAGTGTCCGTTTTCTGTTTTTCTCCATCTGCTTTTGTTCTTCTGTTTCTTCTTTTCTTTCTTCTTGTGTGTTTGTGTGGACTACTTGGAATATTTTTTTCAGAATTCTATTTGCTTTATTTATGTAAGGTACACCTCTTCTCGTTTCTTCTAGGGATACAATATACATCCTTAACTTTTCACAGTCTGCTTCTAGTTATCATTATACCACTTCACAGAATGCAAGAAACTCACCTTATGCTTTCTAGAATATGTTTTCTGCATAGACTTCTCCCTTGATTTCTCATTGTCTTAAAGTCTGTCACCTCATTGCTCACAGACTTCTGTATGCTTTTCTCTTGTTAGTAACTTTCCACCCTTAAAATTGCTGTTTTGCCCCCATACCTTTGCTCATGTTACTCCCCTGCAAGGAATGCAGTGTTCTATCTTCCTGCAGAGAAGACTCAGCTCTGCATATCCATGAACTCTGAAGCCTGAGCAGACCCTGAACATTTTACTAGGCCACTCTCTTCTCTACTTGCCATAGCCTAGATGTCCTGCCATCACAGCTCTTGTGACACTTTCACCCTGGTGGGTTTACATGCTCTTTTCTGTGTTAGACAATGAAGTCTAGAACCATCCATGACTGTGACCCCAGCAACCAACACTGGGCTAGACACACAGTGGTTCTTCAATGTCCGTTGTCTTAAAGTATGAATAACAATTGTAAATGGCTTCCAACATGATTTTTGTTTATCCCACCATATATATACACAAAGCCAGAATGTATAAGGCCGATAAATGATCATGGTAAGCTCTGAACATTATAAAAATCATTACTTTCCACCTTGCCAACATTTTTTTCCATCTGATTCAATGTCATTACAGTTTCAAAAGACACCAGTGTCATTCAAAGATGTTGTTGTGGGCTTCACCCAAGAGGAGTGGCACCGGCTGAATCCTGCTCAGAGGGCCTTGTATCGGGATGTGATGCTGGAAACGTACAGCAACCTTGTCTCAGTGGGTAAGAACAACTTTGCCATATGACTGAGATAGTTCCAATGACCATCTTTCCTTTATCAGCTGCTAAAAGCAACTAAAGTACCTAGGACCTCTGAAGCCCCTAACTTAATAATTATCTAGCATCTAGCACTATGTGCCAGAAACATTTTTATCCACTTTTAAAATATTAACCTATTTAATCCTCATAAAAGCCTTATAAGGTAGGTACGGTTAGTACCAATATTTTACAGATTTGGAAATTGAGGCACAGAGAGGTGAAGTCACTTGCTCAGAGTCACCCAGCTTATACATAGAAGAACCAGGATTTGAACCCCAAGCAATCTGGCTACACAAAAAGCATTGTTACGCTGTCCTACCTCAGTGGATTTGGTTTGAGTTTCAGTGATCCTGGGTTACTAATTCCATTTGGTTCTGGACAAGTGTGTGTTTAGTCCCCGCCCAAGTATAATGTCTATTGTGCAGCCTTTAAAACTGCCGGAGAGGCCTTGAAGGTCAAGGAGCTCAGCCCAAGGCTTGGATCGTTTCCCTGAAACAGGTTACGAAGGCACCAAACCAGATGTGATCCTCAGACTGGAGCAGGAAGAAGCACCATGGATTTGTGAAGCAGCATGCTCAGGTTGTCATTGTTGGGGTAAGTGCAGTAAATCTAGCAAAAGGGGTACTATGGGAGGCTGACACCTTTGGAATTTTGTTAAGGTTCTTCTCTTAAGAGTTTTGATATTTCTCTGAGAGCTTCAACCTTCTTGATAACCCTTCTTCGGCCCTTCCTGCATCCTACCCCCTATATCTGGGTGTTCTTCCTGTCTCTAAATCTCATCTTTGCTCTTATTTATGAGCTTGGTCTATCTCCCTTTTCCAGAATCTTTCACATTCAGGTATTCTTGCAAATAAGCATCTATGATTTTCTCCCATTCCTGCAGGTCCCTTCCTATTCTGTTATAACCCTTTCCAAGTGAACTGCCCCCTCCCTTCGGCTCTGTAAGATATCTCGGGGCAACCCCTTGGGGTCCTTCCCAGTGTGGGAGCTTTTCTGTCCTCTCAATAAAAAAAAAAAAATCTCAATAACCATGGTACTCTGGGGGTTTGTGGCCCACTCTTAGGGATGCCTCTGAACTTCTGCTTCTCCACAAGAGTCATGGACTTAGCAAGCCACAACTGTCTATTCCCAGATCTCTTTATGCTACTTATATTTTGGTGTTGTAATCACACAATCGAATTACATATTATGTAAGCCAGAAAACATTTAAGTCATTTTCATGCTTCTTGTCAAAATGATGTCTTTGAAATTACCACCATCTAACTTCCAGTAGTTGTAGTAGTGGCAGCAGCATTAGAATTACCGGTTAGCCCTCACTTTGTGCCACAGTCTGTTCTGAGCATTTACATATATTAACTAATTTAACTTTTACAACACCTTTCCTCATTTGCAAATGAGGCAACAATTAGAGAAAGGTAAGAAACTTGTCTACAAACATACAACAAGTAAGGGATAGAACAGGAATTTGAAGCCAGGTCTTCAAGCTTCCAGAACCTGTGTTCTTACCCATTACTCTGTGGTACCCTCTGGAGTGTGTTTCTGTTTCATTAAACTGAACCCTCAACCTTCCTAAACTGTGGTAATCCGGCTATCAGCTCCTCTTCTTTTTTCTCCTCTTTTGGAAATTTTATAACTGCAAATTCCACAAAAATGTATCTGTCAGGCTTCCTTTCTAAGTGCTCCATGTTCTCTATTTTCCTAGCTCAAACCCAGCCTTTTCCTTCCAAGGTCCAAGGGGCTACTGCATTTTCTGTTTTCCATAACTCAGTTTTCCTCCCAGTGGTGTAACTCCCTTCAAGAGCTCATCTATTCTGAGAGCACATGATGCTCACAACTGGCCCTTTTGTCCCCCTTGTACCATGTAACCCCCTATTTTACCAGTCTGTGACTCACTCCACAGGTATGTCCACTTACCCTGTTCTTCCTGTGTCAAAAACTAAAATCACCCTCATTTCTTCTTGCTACCTTCACCACACACACACACACACACACACACACACACACTCCTAATCTTTCTTTTCATTCCAGAGCTTTGCTGCCATGTGTCATTTTGAACCTTCTGCCTTTACCACTCTCTGACTGTTCCATTCATATGTGGCGGCTTCATTGATTTTTTTTTTTAACCGCTGAGAAATGGCTTTAAATCTTCCTCTTCTCTTTTTACTTTCCAGTGATATCTTCTAAAATCAGATCCAGATTATCTCATGTCTGAATATATATTTTTTTTGAGTTGGAGTCTCACTCTGTCGCCCAGACTGGAGTACAGTGGCCGCTCGCGGCCACCGCAGCCTCGACCTGCTGGGCTCCGGCGATCCTTCTGCCTCAGCCTTCCAAGTAGCTGGAATTATAGGCATGCGCTACCACGCCCAGCTGATGTTTTGACTTATTGTAGAGATGAGGTCTCGCTGCCCAGGTGGGTTTCCAACCCGCGGGCTCAGGCAATCCACTCACCTCAGCCTCCCAAAGGCACGGGATTACAGGCTGAGCCACTGAGCCCGGCTTGTCTGAATATCTTTAAGTCAAGAGTTCTTTATTTTTGTGCCCTGGACCTCTTGGGCGCTCTGTTGAAGACTCTATATTCCTTTTTTATATCTAAAAAAGTAAAATACTTAAGATTATAAAAGAAGCAAATTATGAAAATACAGTTAAAAACTAAAAGCTAGAAAATGGCTAGGTGTGGTGGCTCATGCCTGTAATCCCAGCACTTTAAGAGGCCAAGGCAGGAGGATTGCTTGAGTCCAGGAGTTCAAAGCCAGCCTAGGCAACATAGCGAGACCTTATCTTTACAAAAAATAGAAAACATAAGCTGGGTATGGTGGTGCATACTTGTAGTCCCAGCTACTCAGGAGGCTGAGGTGAAAGGATCACTTGAACCCAGGTCAAGGCTGCAGTGAATCATGATCGTGCCACTGGACTCCAGCAAGGGTGACAGAGTAAGATTCTAACTCAAAAAAAAAGCTAGAAAGTACAGTTATCAAAATTTTTTCAAAATATGATATAATAGTAGATGTACTTATTTATACATTAAATAATCAAACTTAGGGATAGGTCTAATAACTATTATAATCTCAAAGAAGAGATTGTTGTAAACATATTTTGAGAAATCTTCAGCAATAACACGACATGAAAATACCATCATTCACAAACTAGTACACAGTCACCAGAATTGCTATTGCTACTGTTTTGTTGTTAATAGTCATAATCAAAGAGCCCAGTAAAAAGATGTAATTTTTTTCCTATAAACATTCACAAGCCCTGATTTCTGCTCACCAAGTTAAGAATTCTTACTTTAAGTCCTAGTTAACTTGTTGATTTCTTTTATCTATATCACCTTAGAGCCCTTTACCATTTATATTGTAACTAACTAGCCCAACATGATCAACTCTCCGAGACTGCTATACCAGTACTTGTCAAAATCTTAATGTGTTAAGAATCATCCAGGCATCTTGTTAAAGTGCAGGTTTCAATCCATTAGGTCTGGGGTAGGGCCTCAGATTCTGTATATCTAACAAGCTCCCTGGTAAGGCCAAAGTTTCTCCTTGAAGACCCATACATTGAATAGCAAAGTACTGTATAATGTTTAAGCCTCTTTCCTCTGTAACAGGGATCAGTGAACTATATCCTACAGATTGTGAATAAAGTTTTATTAGAACACAACCATATCTTTATGTTTATATATTGTCTGTGTTTTCATGCTACAATGGGAGAGGAGTAATTATGACAGAGATCATATGACCCACAAAGCCTAAAATATTTACTCTGACTCTTTAAGAATAAGTTTGCCAACCTCTGCTCTAAATATCATCCTGCCTTCTTTGAAATTATTTCTCTATGAGTTTTGCATTGCATTTGAGCCAGGGTTCTGAATCTTGTTTACTCACAGAACACTCCTCCCTGCATTGATGCTTTTGGTTATGGTTCATTCTATTTTTATACTGTGGACCATTTAAATTTTGAGGGCATTTCTCAAATAATGTAAAGTTTCATAAGGAATGACACACTGTACTTTCTCCAGAAGACAGCTGGCAAGTTAATACCCAGAGGAAAAGATGGCAAGATATACTTTTGAAGCAAGGTGCATTCATCAGCAAGAAAACATTGCCCACTGAAAAAAGCCGTGAATGTAATAAGTTTGGAAAAACAGCACTTCTGAGCACTGACCTTTTTTCTTCAATTCAAAGCCGCAATAACTGGGACCTTTATGGAAAGAGTTTGAACCATAATTTAGACTTGAGTGATTTTAAGAGAAACTGTGCAAAAAAGCAAGATGAGTATTATGGGTATGGGAAATTGCTACAGTGCATAAACCACGATAGAAGACCTAATGGAGAAAAACCCTGGGGGTGCAGACACTGTGAGAAAGCTTTTACCCGTAACCCAGCACTTATGTATAAACCAGCAGTAACTGATTCTCTTGGATGTAAACGAAAGAGGGCTCCACCTACAGAAAAACCCCATGTATGTAGTGAATGTGGGAAAGCCTTCTGCTATAAATCTGAATTCATTAGGCATCAAAGAAGTCACACTGGGGAGAAGCCTTATGGATGCAGTGACTGTGGAAAAGCATTTTCACATAAGTCAACCCTCATTAAGCACCAGAGAATTCACACTGGGGTAAGACCCTTTGAATGTTTTTTTTGTGGAAAAGCCTTCACCCAGAAGTCACACCGTACAGAACATCAACGAACACATACAGGAGAGAGACCCTTTGTGTGCAGCGAATGTGGGAAGTCATTTGGTGAGAAGTCATACCTCAATGTACATCGAAAAATGCACACAGGAGAAAGACCCTATCGCTGCAGAGAATGTGGAAAATCCTTCAGCCAGAAGTCTTGCCTCAATAAACATTGGAGAACTCATACGGGAGAAAAACCCTATGGATGCAATGAATGTGGCAAAGCTTTCTACCAGAAGCCAAACCTCAGTAGACATCAGAAAATTCATGCTAGAAATAACGCCTACAGGAATGAAAACCTAATTATTATGGGAAAGTCTTGAGCAAAATATCCATTTTCATTGTATATAAGGGACTTCGTCCTTAAGAGAACTCTTATTGATTTAATGAATTTGAGCAGTGTTTTATTATAATCGAAATCATACTCTAATTGTGATACAAACTTTTCAGAAAATACTTTATGAAACATATGTGGTTACCCTAGCATATAAAAGCTTTAAAATGCTTTAAATAGAATAACAACAGAATACAAAATATATGTGAAGAGACAAAGTATGTTCAACAGTGAGCCATGCAATCAGCACTATTTGTATTTTGGAGTTGTGAATGTGAATTTAACATAAATTGTGAATATCAAACATGTTACATAGTATATAGAATGCCATTCACCAAACTTTTCCACTCTTCAAATCACCATCATATTTTGGTGTTGTATCAGTACTGTAAATAACAACAATGTGGCCCACTATTTTAAAAACAACTTTATTATACCAGCTACATTTTCCACCTTTTTTGTAATAAATGTAAATGGCTCTAGCAGTTGTTATTGAGCCCTTTTCAGAATAATAAAGCAATATTTTAAAATCTTTTGATAAGTCAGCTAAAAACTTGACTATAAACATTTATGTTGAAAATGCAAAGGTAAGGAATAATTTAACAGCCTAATATTGGGTAAATGAAACACTGTAAACTTGATTACTCAGCACACTCACTATTTGACAAAAAGTAGTCAACCTGGCACACTGTGCACTGTTCATATTTTCTTAGTCTTGCTTCAGATGTTCTATAGTGGATTAGAAGATGAGGTACACAATATTCTTTACATGGGTCTTATAATTCAGAAATATTTTCTGTAGAAACCAATGAAGGAAATTTTATTTTTCTTTATTTTTCTTTTTTGCAAATGTATTAAGCAACATCAATTTTTCTTCTTTATAAATTTCTTTGTGATTATCCTGGATACTAAATCTCAAGGTTTTCATCAGTTCAGTGTTTGAAAATGAATCTGCTTCTGTGAGCTCCATATCATATATATAAGAAAAGAAATGGCGACTTGGAATCTGCATTTTTTAAAAGTGCCTCCATGTAAGACTGCCTGATCCAGAATGAGAAAGATGTAGTAACCACAGATTTAGACATGATTTTTAATGATAAAAAGATACCTCATATAACCCTAGATAAAAATATTTTAAAACCGAAAACGATGCTTTTTTAGAAAACCATAAGTTATTAAAATTACAATAAGTAGATAACTTGGTAGAACAATTGCCATTGAACTACTTGGAAAAGTGATTAAAGATCTACAGTGGAAAAAGGCTCCAGGCTCAGATGATTCTACCTACTCTTAAAGAAAGAGTAATACTAGTGTTATTTATTATATGAATATAATAGAATCCATAAACTGTACTCCTCATTTACTTTATGAAGTCAGAATAAGCTTAACACCAAAACCAAATAAAGACAGTTGGAAAAAAAAAAAAAACTCCAGGCCAACTTTATTCAAGAATATAAAAACAAAAGTTATAATTAAAATACTAGTAAACAGAATTCAGCAATATACCCAAAGAATGACATAGTAAAAGTTGCCCTAGGAATGCAAAGCCAGCTCAGTAATAGGAAATATATCAATACAATTAACAGCTGAGAGGAGAAGAATCATGAACTATCAATAGATGTTGACAAGGCATTTAATAGAATTTGCAAGTATTTCTAATCTAATAAAATATAAATTATAATAGATGGTAACCACTTTTGGTCTTTAAACCAAAACCCCATAGCATATTTTATGCTGAAGCCATTTTTTTAAAAAATCAGGAATTTAATATTGTCTTTGAGGTAACAGTGAAGGCAATAACAAGAAAATAATTGATACAAAGAATGGAAAAGAAAAGGTAAAACTATCCATTTTTACTGGTTGTATACCAATAAACGAAGAAACTAATAGTTTGGTTTTTTAGTTAAGATAAATGTATACCAATAAATGAAGAAACTAATAGGTTTTTGGATTTTTTTAGTTAAGATAAATGTTCCAAGAAGCCAAAGTATGAAAATAAAGAGTTGCACTGTATAGTGACAATAAACAACTAATAATTTATGTGCACTTCTTTTGGAATTACATTAAATCTAGTGGCTTTTTTTACTTATGTGAAATGATCTAAAATTTCATATGGAAAAATAAATGCCTGAAAATCTAGACAAGAAAAGTATGAAAAAGAAAATGTCATACCATTTATCAAAACATCACTTGTACCCATAACTATATTCAGCTTTTATGTACCCATAATAATGAAAACCTTTTAAAGTTATGCATCAGGAGATAACATGAAGTCATTCTAATGAAATTAATACAGTATTGACAAAGAAGCAGATATATACATCAGAAATAGACCTTGGTATATATGAGCTTTTTTATGTGGGAGAAAGTTGGAATCTCAAACCATAGGGGGAAAAAGTTTATTTAAAAGTATTCTGACTCAGTTGGCTTTTAATCTCGAAGAAATTAAAGTTGAACTAACAGCACAAACCATAGCCAAAAATAAGTTTTGGGTGGTTTTAAAACTTAAATTTCTAAAATAACAAAATTCTTAAAAGAAACTAAAAAGAGGCTACATATTCAATCTAGGAGTTTGGAGAGATTAACTTTACGAATACAGGATACTCAAAAGCTATTTTATAATAAATATTTGACTACATAAAAGGTGCAGACTTTTGAATGGCAAAAGATGTCATGAACAAACTCTATAGATGAGAGGTTGGGGAGAAATGTTTGTAGAGCTGATCAGAGAGAAAGCACTCTTCAAATTGACAGGTAAAAAATAACCCAATAGCAAAACACAGCAAAGAATATGAATAGACCATTGTGAGAAGAGCAAATCTCTAAATGGCTAGTGAACCAATCCAAAAATGTTTACCATCCATAGTTATTGGGGAATGCAAATTAAAGTAATGATATAACACTATGTACGAGTGCTATCAAAACTAATGAAAAAAAAAGTACTAATAAAAAAAAAAGTACTGTCAAAACTAATGGTGATATACATTGTTGGTGGAAAGAAATTTTGGAAAGCATTTCAAATTACTCTTTTGAAAAGCAATCTGGTAACATATTAAAATACAAATTAAAATACACTTTGGAGCATCTTTTCCTTAGAAGTAAAAGCCCCAGTACATAAAGGACAGATGGACATGTGAGCATGGTTATTATAAAATTGTTTCTAATGACAAAAAACAAAGCAAAGCAGACACTAGAATTAAAGTGAGTACCCATCATTAGAGAAATTGAAGGAAGGAAAGAATTGTAGTATATCCATGCCATAGAATGTTTATATAGCCATAAAGGTGGACAAATTAAAACTATGCTAGTAGACTTGAATGGAATTCCACAATGTTCTCCTGAGTGAAAAAAGCAAGAAGATATTAAGTGTCTTAAGTATGCCCCATTTTTGTAAATCATTTACAAAAAGTCAGTGTTTACTAGTGATAATATGTATCTGTGTTTAAGTTTATGTATGATTTATATGCATGGAGAAAAGTACACATTGAGTTGGGGGAAGCTGGTTGATACAGGTAGGTTATGGGGGAGTCAGGGATTGGGAAAAGGAAAACCAAAAAGAAAAATATGTAAATGACTGAACCCTGTATATCACAAATGTATGAGTAAATAAAGAAGTTTGGCTGGGGAGGGTGTAGATTACAATTCTAATTTGTAGTGATGTTCGTAGTATATATTGTTAAATGAAAAGGACAAATTGCATAATAATGCATATGATTCTATTTTAAGATATTAAAACCCCTATATGTATATATATGCATGTATATGTTTATATGAACAAAGAAAAATGTGGGAGGATATAAATCAAGGTGTTAATTAACATTGGTTACCTTGGTAGAGAAGGGTAAAAGTTGTTAAATTTCCATATCTTTGTATTATTTTACTTGTTAACAACATATGTTGCTTTTGTAATTTGAAAAACATAAAATAAAGGGGAAAAAAATTCAAACTGTATGAAGCCTTGAAAATGATTGTTTTCTGACAAGGTGGCACCTGGCCTGTTCTGCTGCCTCTCCCTCAGCTCAATTCTAGGGATATCACCAGAGTAAAGGGAAAATGTGTAGATCTGAAGAGCAAAAGGAAAGACTTTGGGAAACTCCCAAGTAGAAATAAATCTTTTGCTAATTTTAGATTTATAAAAAATTTACAAAACAAAGTTCTTATACAGTCTTCACCTAGCTTCCCCTAATGTTGACATTATAGAACCACAGGACAATTACTGGTATAATACTTGAAATTAAACTATAGTCTTTATTTGAATATCAAAATTTTCCTACAAATGTTTTTGTCTAGTCCAAGATCTAGTCCAGGATCTTACATTGTATTTACTTGTTATTTCTCCTTAGTCTTCTCCAGTCTGTACGTTTTTCAGTCTTTTCTGTCTTTCATAACTTAGACACTCTTCAAGAATTTTGTGGAATATTCCTCAGTTTGGGTTTGATCCATTGTTTTCTCTAATTATACTGAAGTTATGCATTAATACAGTAATACCACAGAAATGATATTGCCTTCTCAGTGCATCATATCAGAGAGTATATGACGTTGATGTTGTTTTTCCCCCAGCTTTATTAAGATGTAATTGACAAATATTATGTATTTTACATTGTACAATCTGATGTTTTGATATGTGTACACATTGTGAAATGATTAAATCAAGCTAATTAATATATTCATCACCTTTTTGTGTGGTGAGAACATTCAAGATTTAGCAAGTCAATCTCTTAGCAATTTTCATGTATATATCACAGTATTATTAACCACAGTTACCATGCTGTAAAAAGATTTCCAGAACTTGTTCATCCTAACTGAAACTTTATACCCTTTAACCAACATCTCCCATTCCCCTCTATCCCAGCCCCTGACAATCACCACTCGGCTCTCTGCTTCTGTGAGTTAATTGTTTTAGATTCCACAGGTAAGATCATGTCTGTGTCTGGCTTATTTCACTTAATATAATATCTTCCAGGTTTATCCATGTTGTTTAAGTTCCAAGATTTCATTCTTTTTTTAAGGCTGAATTGTATCCCATTGTATATATACTTCACATTTTCCTTATCCAATCATCCATTCATCTTCGTTGATTTAACATCTTGGCTATAGTGAATAAAGCTGCAGTGAACATGAGAGTACAGTTATCTCTTTGACATACCGATTTCATATTATTTGGATATATGCCCAGAAGTGGGATTGCTGGATTACGTGGTAGTTCTATCTTTAATTTTTTGAGGAAACTCCATACTGTTTTCCATAGTGGCTGTACTAATTTATATTTCCACCAACAGTGTACAAGGATTCCCTTTTCTCCGCATCTTTATCAACACTTATCTTTTGTCTTTTTGATCATAGCCATTCTAATAGGTCTGAGGTGATAGCTCATTAAGATTTTGATTTGCATTTCCCTAATGATTAATGATGTGACACATTTTTTCATATACCCATTGGCCATTTGTATGCTACCTTTTGAGAAGTCTATATTCACATCCTTTGCCCTTTTTATAACCAGTTTGTTTTCTTGCTATTGTTACATCTTATTGGTGGTCTTAACTTTGATCACTTGGTTAAGGTGCTCGCTGCCAGATTTCTCCATTGTAAACTTACTGTTTCTTCCTTTGCAGTTAATATTTTGCACAAGATGTTTTGCAGAGTTTCTTTTTAAAAAAAAATATTAGTAGGCCCTAGCACCAGAGAGATTGTTAGCTTAGCTCTAGCTGAGACGTCAGGCATTCCCAATAATCCTGATGGTCAGCCAAGTGTGGGTCTCAGATTTGAATCACACCACAAATCATTAGCCATGAAACAAAGCATCATTTACATAGAAAAATAGACAGTAATGAAAAATACTGTGGACACGGTTTAGCTTTGGTAACCTAAGTATGTTAGTTATCTAGTGCTGGCTAACAAATTATCACAAACCTAATAGCTTAAAGAAAAATTTGTTATCTCACAGTGTCTGTGAGTCAGGAGTCTAGGTGCGGCTTAGCTATGTCCTCTGGTTCAGGGTTTCACAAAGCTGTAGTACAGGTGTTGGCTAGAATAGCGATCTCAACTAATCTTCAAATAAAGAAGGATGTGCTTTCAAGATCACACAGTTGTTTGGCAGAATTCAGTTTCTCATGACATGTTGGGCTGAGGGCCTCAGTTTAGTGCTGGCTGTGGACCAGAGGCCACTCTCAGTCGTGTGCAATGTGGGCCTCTCCAAAGTGAAGCTCACAATGTAGAGCTTGCTTCAAATAACAGCCTGCTACCAATATAGTCTTATATAACTTCATTAGGCAAATAATATCTTGTAATCTTTGCTGCATTCTGTTAGTAAGAAACTAGTCACAGAGCCCAGCCACACTCAAGGAGAAGAAATTAAACAAGTGCAGTTTCCCTTTCCAGACTACAAATAGTAGAGAT